GCCATCCAAAACTCTATTTGTCAAAGGTCTGTCGAGGAGACTACGGAAGAGACATTGAAGGAGTCCATTTGATGGCTCTGTCAGGGCAAGGATAGTCACTGACTGGGAGACAGGCTCTTCCAAAGGGTTTCGTTTTGTAGACTTCAACAGTGAGGAGGATGCCAAAGCTGCTAAGGAGGCCATGGAAGGTGGTGAAATTGATGGAAACAAAGTTACTTTGGATTAGGCCAAGCCTAAGGGTGAAGGTGGCTTCAGGGCTCATGCTGGAGGCAGAGGTGGCTTTGGAGTTAGAGGTGGTGGCAGAGGAGGCCGAAGTGGACTTGGTGGCAGAGGCCATGGAGGTTTTGAAGGTCAAGGAGGCTTCCGAGGAGGCAGAGGAGGAGGAGGAGACCATAAGCCACAAGGAAAGAAGATGAAGTTTGAATAGTTTCTTCTATCCCTGTCTTTCCCTTTTCCATTTGAAAAAGAAAGGACTCTGGCGTTTTTACTCTGTTACCTGATGAATGACAGAGCCTTTTAAGGACATTCCAAGACAGTCCTGTGGTCTACTTGTAAATCCATTTAGATAACATTTCAAAGGAGATAACCTATTGGTTTTGACTGGGTATTCATATAAACTTTTTAAAGAGATGAGTGGTAGAGCTAACCCTTATCTGTAAGTTTTGAATTTATATTGTTTCTTCCTGTGTACAAAACCATTTTTCCCCTACAAATAGTTTTGTGTATGTGTGTGTGTGTGTGTGTTGGAATATAAAGGAAAGCAGAACGTTTTATCATAATTTTGCTTCAGCAGCTCTGGGACAAATTAAAAGTCCTAAACTCTGGTGCCAAAAAAAAAAAAAAGATTAGCATGTGTTACTTTTCAAACTAAGAAAAATGATAAAGTCATGGTGGGAAAATAGAATACAGTAACTGAAATTAATAATATACTAAAGGGAATCAATAGTAGATTAGATGAAGCAGATGATTGAATCAGCAATTTGGAAGAGAGGGTAGCAGAAAACACCCAATCAGAACAGCAAAAGGAAGAAAAGAATAAAAAAACAATGACAATAGTTTAAGTGATCATCATAATTAAAATGTCAAAGGTTAAAGACAAACAGAGAATCTTACAAACAGCAAGAGGAAAGCAGTTCTTACCTACAAGGGTTCCCATAAGACTTTCAGCTAATTTCTCAACAGAAACACTACAGGCCAGAAGGAATTGACATGAAATATTCAAAGTGATGAAAATCAAGAACCTACAACCAAGATTACTCTGTCAAACAAAGTTATCACTTAGAACTAAAGGACATATAAACCGCATCCCAGGCAAGAAAAAGTTAAAGGTGTTTATCATCACCATACTAGTATTACAAGAAATGTTAAAGAGTCCTCTTAAAGAAGTAGAATGGGGGGGGGGTGGCTAAAACATGAGTAATAAAATGGCAATAAATATATACTCTCAACAATTGCTTTAAATGAAAATTAAATTAAGTGTTCTAATCAAAAGACATAGTTTGGCAAAATGGATAAGAAAACAAGGCCCACACATATGCTGTCTACAAGAGACTCACTTAATATCAAATTATACACATAGACTGAAAGTAAAGGGAGGAAAAAAGGTATGTCATGCAGATGGAATTGAAGGACAAAAGCTAGGGTAGCAATACTTATACCAGATAAAATAGACTTTATAACAAAGGCTATAACAAGAGACCGAAAAAGGACCCCACAATTCCCCTTGTGGGTATTTATCTGAAGAAACCCAGAATACTAATACAAAAAGACATAGGTATCCAAATGTTCAGTGCAGCATTATTTACAGTAGCCTCAGTTCCCATTAGTAAATGAAGGGGTAGAGAAGAGTTGGCACATACATACAATGGAATATTACTGGGCTATAAAAAAATAATGAAATCTTGCCATTTACAGCAACACGTGTAAACCTAGATGGTATTGTGCTGAGTGAAATAAGTCAGTGAGAGAAAGACAAATACCATATGATTTCACTTATATGTGGAATTTAAAGAACAAAATAAATGAACAAACTAAACAGAAAGAATCATAGATACAGAGTGACAGTTGCCATATGGGAGGGGATTGAGGGCTGGGTGATAAATGTGAAGGAAACAAATTGGTTATTACAGAATAGTCATGGGTATTCAAAGTACAGCATAGGGAATATAGTCAGGAATATTGCAATAACTATGTATGGTGTCAGATGGGTATTAGATTTATAAATATCTAATCTCTAAGTTGTACACCTAAATCTAATATATTGTACATCAACTGTAATTTAAAATAAAATTTTATTTTTTAAGATAGAAAAGAAATTAACAGAAGACATAAAAAACTGAAGAGATAGTCAATGTTTATGACTAGGAAAGATATATAAAAGGTGTCAGTTCTCCCAATTGACTCAAATTCATCGTGACTCCAGTTAAAATTCCAATTCTTTAAGAGAGAAAACAATTTAAAAAACCTCCAGAGACAGCCTCTGCAGATTACAAGGGTTACAAAAGCCTAATCGGTATTCTTGCCTTTTAACATTTGTCCTAAGACTGTTGTCAGGGTTTGCTCCATAAAATGGAAATCTATTTGACTTTGTCAGTCTCCAGCCCAGAATCCATTCATGAATCCCTATTGACTTGATGAGATTAAATGCAAACTCCTAAGAACACCATTCAAGTCCCCAGGCTACTTCTCAAGCTTATCTTCCACCCAATACCTACCTAAACCACCCACCCATACCTTTTTTATTCACATCATATCATTCATATTTCAAGAATACAAACCATTTTTCATGCTGTTCCATCAGCTTGAAATACCTTTCTTTACTTTGTGATTATTTAATTATGCTTCAAAGCCCAACTCAAAGATCACCTTCTGTTCTGTTAACCTCATTGAAGAAAATGAATTCAGGAATATTTAATCCAGAGCTGATTCCTATTCTGAGGTCCCTAGAGCTCCTGGGAGTACATGAAGATAGTATGTGAGTTTAAGGTGTTTATGTATTTTTCCTCTCATTGGGGCAAAATGTATATACAGTGAAATGCACAGATCTGATATGTACAATTTGAAGATTTTAGTTTTGCAAATGCAAACATCTATGTGATCACCATCCCAATGAGGGTATTTCCTCCAGATATGTCCCTCATTCCAGAAGTTTTCCTGTACCACTTTCCAGGCAATCTCCACCCACAATAGGCAACCACCTGATTTCTGAAAGACAACTGTCCTGATTTCTATTACTATGGATTCATCTTTCCTGGTTTAGAATTTCATGTAAATAGAATCATGCAGTATGTATTCTTATTATCTGGCTTCTTTTGCTTCTCATGTGTTGTTTTTATAAAAAATCCTATATAATAAAAGCCTAATATGCTAAGTGTACGGTTGTCCAATTGGCTGCTCAACCAATCAAAGCATAATATGCTAATGATATTCTAAGGCTGCTCAACCGCTCGCTATGATGTGCACTGACCACCAGGGGGCAGATTCTGTGACTAGTAGGTTAGCTTGCTGCTGGGGTCTGGCCAATCAGGACTGAGCAAAATGTGCTGGACACACCATGGAGCCCTCCCACGGTCCCTCTCTGGCTGGCCAATCTCTGTCCCTCCCCAGCCACGATCATGCACCAGTGGAGTCCCTCGGCCTGGCCTGCAACCTCTTGCAACCCGGACCCCTTGGGGGATGTCAGAGAGCTGGCTTCAGCCCAATCCTGCAGGCCAGGCCAAGGGACCCCACTGGTGCACGAATTCGTGAACCAGGCCTCTAGTTTATTCCATATTATGGGATAAAAGGAGTTCTTTCTTTTATATTTTTAAGTATTCCATTGTATGACTACCACATTTGTTTACCTGTTGACTTCTTGATAGGCATTTGAGCTGCTTCCTATTTTTGGCTATTATGAATAAACCTCTTCTAAACATTCTTGCACAAAAATGAAAACAGCCTTATTTAGACAAAATTCATATGCCATATAATCAACCCATTTAAAATGTACAATTCAATGTTTTTTGTCTATTCACAGAATTGTACAAACATTACCACAACTTTAGAACATTGTAATCTCATAAAAAGAGATTATAACCTTTAACTATCAGTCCCCCAAATTTCCCATTCCCCCATCCCAGCCCTAGGCAAACACTAATCCCCTTTCTATTTATATGTCTTTGCATGTTATACATATTTAATATAAATGGAATTATACTGACATCTTTCACCTAGAATAATGTTTTCAAGGTTCTCAATGTTGTAGCATGTACTACTAATTCATTCCCTTTTATTCCTGAATAACGTTCCATTGTATAGATACACCACTTTTGTTTATCCATCCTTCACTTCATGCACATTTGGGTTGCTTCCATTTTTTGGCTATTATAAATAATGCTGCCATGAAAATTCATGTCCAAGTTTTTTTTGTAGAAATTTGCTTTCATTTGTCTTGGGTATATATCTAGAAGTAAAACAACATTTTAAAGAACTGTCAAAATGTTTTCCAAAGCAATTGGACCATTTTACATCTCCACCAGAAATTCATGAGGATTTTATTTTCTCTTCATCCTCACCAACATTTTTTATTTTTGTTTAAAATTATTAGTATTACTAGAGGCCCAGTGAATGAAAATCATGCACTGGGGGGTGGGGGGGGGTCCCCTCAGCCTGGCCTGAGCCCTCTCACAGTCCAGACCCCCCCCCCCAAGGGATGTCCCCCTAGGATTGGGCCTAAGCTGGCAGTCAGACATCCCTCTCACAGTCCGGGACCCCTTGCTCCTTACTGCCTGCCTGCTCGCTGCTCCTTACTGCTCAACTTACTGATCCTTAGTGTTGCCACAGAGGCGGGAGAGGCTCCTGCCACTGCCACTGTGATTGCCAGCCATTAGCCTGGCTTTTGGCAGAGCAGTGTTCCCCCTGTGGGAGTGCACTGACCACCAGGGTGCAGCTCCTGCATTGAGCATCTGCCCCCTGGTGGTCAGTGCATATCATAGAGACTGGTCATCCTGGTCATTCCACTGTAACGGTTGCTTAGGCTTTTATTATATAGACTAGTAGCCCAGTGCATGAAATTTGTACACATTAAAAGGTAATTAATTGCCCTAA